AACCTGATCAATCTTTACATCATTCTCAGAAGTAGGTATATTAGGAACAACTTGTTCTCGAAAAGCTAATGCTATTGTTGAAAATCGATTACCAAATTTCTCTCTGCATCGATTGAGGTAAATGTCATAGTAACCTTTCCCATTGCCTATACGATCACCATTTTTGGTAAAGCCTATGCCTGGCACAATTATAAGATCTAAGCCATCTAAGGAGACAAAATAAGAGGACATTTTATATGTGTAAAATTTAAGTCTTCAACAGCATTGATCACATGATTAAACAAAATAAATTGTGTTTAATGTTACATATAGAATGTGCAAATAGTTTTATTTGAGTGAATTTAAATTTTTAATAATTTATTAAATGGCAGAAGAGTGACTTCTAATAAAAACCAACCGTTGGAATAACCATTGGAGGTTTTATATTTTTAATCACACAGCATTATTTTTAATTTCACACCAGTTTCTGGATTATATGTTTGCCCCATACCTTCTAATATGGATTTAAAATTACAAACATACAGTTGAACACCTAAAGACACAAATAAAGTATCCTATTTGAATTAACTTAATATTTAGACAAAATAATATTAAGATGCTTAATCTAAGATGAATTTTTTGACATTTAAGAGGCAAGTTTGAAATAATATGAAGAAAAAATATGTGTAGCATCCAAAAAAAAGTTCTAATAGACCAGAAAATGTAAAATTTCAGCTTCCAAGCCAGTGGTCAGAAGGCACTAATAGCATAGTAACCACTTTTTCTGCAAACCTTATGAATTTGTAACCGTTATCAATAGGTTTTTTTTCACTTAATAGCGACTTTTTTTGGCTGTAATTAAATTATATATATATAGGAGACAAATTTCAGTTAAAGATACTGATTTTAAAGAACTTTATTTTAAAATTTTAGGGGAGGCGAAATACATTTAATGTATGCATTATGACATTGAAATATGTTGATTGTCAAAAAACTCTGTTGAATGAAAAATTCTAAATAAAAATTCTGTTTTCCTGAGTTTCTTTCTGCACTGATGTACTTTTACTGTATTGATGTACTTTTATCATTAAACAATTTAATTTTCAAAAGAAATAAAATTAGAAAAAGTGATTGAGTTTATTTAATTTAGGCTGCTATATATATATATATATATATGTATATATATATATATATATATTTGTTTTGTTTACTCGCCACATGGCGAGTGGTTATTTTTAGGTCTCTGTCCCAGCATCACAGTGGAAACTTTTTCAATCCTTAAGTGTTCTTTTCATTTTCCAAAAATAATGGATCTTGAAAGATTTTATAAATATACCAGTATAGAATTGATTTCCATTCTTTTTGTTGTGTATTATATTTTTACAAAACATTTTAGTGTCTGTAAACCTTTTAATATTACTAACTCATTTAATTTAAATCATATTTCAGGCTGAGCTCATATTAAAAATCACATTAGTTCCAAGCCTAATGAAAAATTAAGACTGGAAACTTTCATCAGACACTCTAAAATTTTTTTAATAGTTAAGATAAAAACAGGAACAATATTTATACATTGTTAAATAAAAGTTAGAAGTTAACAAAATTGGATAAAATACGAAACTTTAAAATATATGTACACATTGTGCATACATATATAATATAAAGAGTCTGAGGCAAGAACATAAAATATTTTACAACTTTTAATTTTCCACATTTTCTCATGAAAGAATAATATGCATAATTCAAAATTTATATAATTAAAACACACCTGAATTTAAAGCATTTTCATGAGAAACATCTGAATCTAAGGGCTGCTTTATTTTCCAGGAGGTTTCAGGTAAATTTTCAAATTCATCTAGTGAATTTAGTTTCACCATTTCCATATTGGTTGACTTTGAACTGAAATAAATGTAATTAAAATATAGAAATAAAGATAAAAACTAAGAAATTATCACAAATAATGCCCATTAAATTTAGTGATTATTTTTAAGCTTTGTTTAGCTTTATTTAATAGCATAAAGATATCCTTTTCCTTTCCTGAATAAAACATATTTCTGCCAGAAATGAAATAGACAATATTAATTAATTAGATAATTATTTTTTACTGAAAAATAAAGTTAATTAAAATGAGAAAAATAAAACATTTATTAGAATTACAAATATTCATCGAAAGAGACAAAGAGTACTTAAATAGGATTTAATGGCAATTTAACAACAAATGCAATAAATTGAAGGAAATTTTCTTTTTGTAAGCTAGAAGTTACTGTAAATTAGCTAAATATTCCTGTTGAATTTTGCACTTTATTTAAATTTTTAATAGAAACCAATAGGAGTAAAAAATTAAGTAAAATTCAAAACTCAACAGAAATATTTAGCGTAAACTACTTTTTTTTTATTTCGTCAAGCCTTTCAATCAAAACCAATAGGTCTAAAATCCTTTTACAAGTCAAATTATAGGAAAATATTAAGTTTCTAAAAAGGAAGATCAACTACAGATCAGATTCAAACCTAAGTCAAGCCTTTCAATCAAACCCAATAGCTCTAAAATCCTTTTACAAGTCAAATTATAGGAAAATATTAATATAGTTTCTAAAAAGGAAGATCAACTACAGATCAGATTCAAACCTAAGATAGATTCTGGAAAAAAAACAATAGAATAGGACATAGATATTTACCACTTTTTTTTATTGATTTTAAGTCAGCCTATGATAGTATAAATAGGAAGCGACTATTTAAAGCAATACAAGAGCTGGAATTATTAGAGTAACTAATAAAATCAATTAAAATGACCCTAAACAGATTAAAAAGCCAAAAGAAAAATGGCAACTGAACTATTAGAGCCCTTTTACGTAGAGAAAAGACTAAAACTGGGAGATGCCATCTATTTAATATTACCTTAGACATAGCAGTGAGAGCTTTGGATATACAAACAGAAAAACACATTTCCCAAAAATCAGCACAATTATTAGCATTTATATATATCTGTCGTTGAACAGCCAACCCAATTTTTGGGCTTACGACTACTAATGTTCAACTCCGCAGCCTTGTAATTTTGAATCAGGCCAGAAGACAAGAAACTCCTGAATCAGTACCCCCAGAGGTATTGATTTGTTATGGGAACATGGAGGACTTTGCGACTCAACAGATTTAATGTGCATCAGTCACCATTTGACTACATGGAGAGTCTTCGGCCAGCTGGGATAGAACCCACGAACTCTTTGACATGGGCTCAGAGCCCTACCAACCAGGCTATCCAATTACAGGGTGGCCACTGAAATCAGATTTCAAATTTCCCTGATTTTTCCAGGTTTTCCAGATAAAAATCTTAAAATTTCCAGGTTTTTGTTTCTTTTTTCTTATAAAGTATAGGATGTGTACAAGAAAAGTGTCTACATTATAAAATATTTTATTCAAAATGTTATTTTTTTAACATATCATCTTGAAAAAAATAATTTATTTTGACAATTTTCAAGATTTTTTATTTATTTTTTAATGTTTTGGTACAAAATTTTGAATCAAAAATCATATATTGACCAACAAAGGAGCCTTTTTTTAAAAATTAAAATATGTTAAAAGAGGTTAAAATGAAATAGAAAAAATTAGCATTAATGCAACAATTGT